CTCTGGTAGGCAAGCTTTATATACTGTTTATGTTGAATTTTGTGTTGATTTCAGAGAGTCATGTTTTCCGACATTGTCCTCAAAGTCTGGAGATGTGCTCTATTTTCAACCTGTGAATTCCTTTAGGACACATGGGACATTTTGAAAATCCTGTAGATAATTTTAAAAGTTCAAGGGCAGTAAACAAGGATTACTTAGTCACAATTTTAATGGAACAGGAACTGGTTTTCCCTGAGTTTTTCTATTGACTGCAGAGATTCAGGGAAGATCTCCTATGTGTCCAGCCCTGTGGGAAGTGCTTGAGGAACACAAAAGAAGCATGAGATGCTGTCCCTGCAGTCAGAAAGCCATCATTTCAGTTGGGTGGAGGGAATCACCATGGTCATGGCCCATAGATACGTCTCAGATGGCCTGTGTGCCAGGCCCTGGGGCAGGGACCTCACACACTGTCTTCAGTCCTCACAACAGACCTGCAACATTTCTCATCCTTATTCAGATAAAGAAACTGTGGCTCTGTTGGTTCAGTGCTGTCCAACGTCCTCCAGCTATAAAATCCAGGATTCCAGTCTTAATCTGTTTTTATCTGAAGCCCAAGCTCTTTCCACTCCCTTACTGTGCTTGAGAGAATTCAAATATGGGGAAGAATGGAAGTCAATTGAGCCTGGAGAAGAAGGAAACCATTTTTTTTAATTTAAAGCTCAATCTATATTTATCTCCAATTTTAGATTCCTGGGTTATTAAAGAGAGCTTCTGCATTTGGGGATGGTTCTGCTCAGGGGTTTTCAAGTATTTGTTTTTCTTCAGGAGACATGGCCAGTCACACGAGCTAATGTTTCACATCAGCTCCCAGGATTTTCTTTTCTTCTTCTTCTTCTTTTTTTAATTAAAAAAATTTTTTTCTTAACATTTATTTTTGAGAGAGAGACCTAGTGTGAGTGGGGGAGGGGCAGAGAAAGAGGGAGACACAGAATCTGAAGCAGGCTCCAGGCTCTGAGCTATCAGCACAGAGCCCGATGAGGGGCTTGAACTCACGAACCATGATGAGATCATGACCTGAGCCGAAGTCGGACCCTTAACTGACCTAGCCACCCAGGCACCCTGTGTGATTTTCTTTTTTAGGAGAGGGTGACAGTATTGCCTGGATTGAAAGGGTCATGACTGGATGTTAGCACCACATGATTGCATACCAGCCTTTATCTTCATTTAAAACAAGTTCCAGTTGAGGAGAATGAAGTATGCTTTGCTGGAGGCAATGAGCAAAAAGGTTGGGCTGCAATTAATAGACCCTCTAAAATCACAAGGGCTCAACAGTTTTATGTCTCACGTAAAAATCCCCGGGACAGCCAGGGCAGTTACAACACTCTGAGAGGTTAGGACTCGGCTTTTCTCTTGATACTTTGCTGTTTCTGGCCTTGACTTTGACCTCAAGGTCTGAGATGCTTGTCTCCATGTTCCAGGCAGCAGGTCAAGGGTAGGGAGGACGATGAGCCTGCACACTGTCTTTGAAGAGGGTGGCGGGCAGCTGCTTCATGATTAGTATTATGGTTACATCTAACTTCAGGGGAGATACAGGCTTGATTCTGGATGGCTATACACTTAGGTTTAAAGTGGATGAAGAAGATGATAATGGCTTTCAGGGGACAGCTAGCAGTCTGCCACCAAGGTCATGAGATTTGACCCTTGCTTTCTCATTCCTTCCTCAAACTTTGAACATCTGTAGCCACTTCAGTGCACACTTGAGCTACCAATTCTATGCAAACTTTCAAAAAAAGCATTCATCACAGGGGTGCCTGGGTGGCTCAATAGGTTGAGTGTCTGACTCTTGATTTTGGCTCAGGTCATGATCCCAGGGTTGTGGGATCGAGCCCCACATTGGGTCCCGTGCTGAGTGTGGAATCTGCTTAGGAGTCTCTCTGTCTGCTCCCTCTGTTTGCTTGCGCTCTCTCTTTCTCTCTCTAAAAAAAAACAAAACAAAACAAAAAAAACAACCAAAAACCAAAAAACCATTCATCGCAATTTAAAAATAAAGACAAAACATCATGTATTAAAATCAATAATAGTCATGATTTCATTTCAGTAAGAAGGATGGTACCGTTCACTGCCTTTCACCACAAACATCTTTTCTGGGGCCGTGATGGAGAGCTGGGGGTGCAGGTCAGCTTCCCAGGTGGTTTTCTTTCTTACCCTTCATTTTCACTAAGTTAGAAAAGCTTAAATTACAGTTTGAAGTAGCAGCAAGTGATTGATAACTCTGTCTAGTACTCCTGGATAGTGACCACAGACAGACATGGAAATTGAGGAGATTCCTTGCTGAAAGCCACTGCCAGTGTTTGGTCAGAACTATGTCATCCGTGGAAGCCGGAAGGTTGAGTGTTTATCTTAGGACTGCCTTGTATACTCCTTATCCATCCTTTGATTTGACTTTAGTCTGAAAAGTGTGTCTTTATGCTCTACTACAGCTCTTGGAGGTGGCTGTTCACTTTGCCCAGTAGTGTATTATGTCTGCCTCCATGGCCAAGAAAGTCATCAGGTAGGGCATAGACTGCTTTGATCCGAATACCTTTTTGTCACACTATCTGTGTAACTTTGGACAAATTATTTAAATTTTCCCTGTCTTGATTTCCTCAACTGTAAAAGAGAGACAGTGATAGTCCCTGCCTGACGGTGTGGCCGTACATCTTCTTTGTTCTAAAACACATGACTGTTTGGCTCTGTGCTGGCACATGATATGCGCTCAGTAAATACGCATCACGGCCATGGCTCTTATTTTCAGGTGTTTGCAAACTCTGGACCCTCCAAGACTTTCATACCGTGGTTCAGTCTTCATACAAAATCTTCATTTCTTCTTCCTTCTTCTCCTTTTTTAAATCATAAGCTTTCATCCCCAAAGTGGGGAGTAGGTTCTGGGTATGTGAATTACTGAATGTATTGTGCGCCCACCGTTCAGAATCATAGAGATAGTCTTCACTTGCATTCTGAACACCATAAAGTGTCTCTTTATCTTCTCCATTGTCCTGTGAGCACCGTCAGTAGTCCATATACTTCATTGGGGAGCGCAGTCTTCTGGTTTGCTACCTGTTTCTCTGCCTAGCACACTGGAAAAGCCGATGGTAAGAGGCTGGATGTGAATGGCTTCCACTGTTATCTTCAACACAAAACCAAGACCAGAGAGTGGATTGATGAACACCAGCTGGTCTTTATGAATGAAGCTGGGGAATGATTTTCAAAGGGGACACCTTTTACGTGAGCGGGAATACCTTTGTCGCACGCAGAGTTGGTGTCTTCTCAGTACTGGTCTCCGTGCTTCCTGCTTCACAAAATACACCGTAATTCAGTAGAAGCCTCAGGGGGCCTAGGGGGTCAAGAAGCTACAAGCACGTCTGTCTGTGGAGCACACTCACTAGGACCTGATTCCCACGCTGCCCCCTGACATCAGTAGCAGGCTGGCCAGCACACCAGCATCTTCCCACCACGGTGCACGGGTTTTAGGGGATCTCTGACAGTCATCCAATGAAGGCATGGTGCTGCCTGCTTGCTATGCTTTCTCTGCGAACACCGCATTTGTAATGAACTCTGCAGGTGGTTTTAGAAGCTTCTCACCAATAATGGCGCTTTTGCCCATTTTTCTGACTTGTTTTGGTTTCCTTTCATTCTTTAGTGACAAAACTAATTGAATTAAGGTCAGAGGTAGTTGTTTTTGTATTTGTTTTGAAAAAATTTTGAGGTTTTATTTGAAGATGGGGAGAAACTGATGGCTTGACATCATAATCTGATCAAAAATGTTTTAATGTTTATTATTTATTATTGAGAGAGAGAGAGAAAGAGAGAAAGAGAGAGCTAGCAGGGGAGGGGCAGAACAAGAGAGAGAGAGAGAGAGAGAAAGAGAGAGAGAAAGAGAGAGAGAGAGAGAGAGAGAGAGGGAGGGAGAGGGAGACGGAGAGACAGAATACCAAGCAGGCTTCTTACTGTCAGCATAGAGCCTGATGCGGGGCTCAAACCCACAAACTGTGAGATCATGACCTGAGCCAAAGTCGGACGCTTAACCAACTGAGCCACCCAGGGACCTCCTGACCAGTTTTTATCACACACACTGTAGCCAGGGCCAAGTGGATTACTAAATCAATATGACCTAAATTTCAGATGCTCATCACTGCATTTCCTTTCCTTTATATACTCATGGAATTCCTTGTCCTGGGTCATAGATTCATATTCCACATTCACACTGGAGCCCTGTTCATGGTTTATGTTGATGATGTCATTTTACATTGTACTGTTTACATTATAATTATTGTTAAAATTTTTTTAATGTTTATTTATTTTTGAGAGAGAGAGAGAGAGAGCTGGGAAGGGGCAGAGAGAAAGGGAGACACAGAATCCGAAGCAGGCTCCAGGCTCTGAGCTGTCAGCACAGAGCCTGATGCGGGACTTGAACCCACGAACTGTGAGATCATGACCTAAGCCGAAGTCAGATGCTTAACCAACTGAGCCACCCAGGCGCCCTGTTTACATTATTATTTGTATCCTTACTTTGGGGCTTAGGTGAGCCACTTTTGTCATTTGAGGCTATGACCCAGCATGATAGAGCACAAATATGTGAATGGGGTGAGTTGTAGGCTGTTCACTGAATGCTAGCAAAGGTAAACTCCCTACTTGTTATGAAGACTATAATAGGGTTTTTGCAAAAATCGTAATTGCTTATGTTTCAAATCTTGGGAACATACTTGTTTTAATTCTTCTTTTCTTCTGAAGCCACCAAGCCTCCAGGGACCACACTTTGGGAACATTACCCTGTGGTTTTTGATGAGGGCCCTTCTGGAACAGAGCTGGTGACTAGATAGGGGCAGGAGGGGACAGGACCCTGGTGTTTTGTTAAAGAGAACAAACACCAGAAACTGAAGAAATGCCAGGTCGGGGCTTCTAGTTTGGGAGAGCTAGGGAAACAGGAATTTAAGCTATGTCCTTCTAAGTGTTTCCATTTCTTCTTCCTTTGTACCTTGCAGAGTAAAAGCCAGGGATCCATCTTTGTCCGGATACACGCCCCGTGGCAGGTGCTGGCCAGAGAGGCAGAGTTCTTGAAGATCAAAGTCCCCACCAAGAAAGTATGAGCATGTTTCTTCTGGGTTTGGGGGCCTCCGGAGGGTGGGCTGGCTGGCAATAGTGTGGGAACAAGGCCAGGGTTTGGGGGATGAGGGTTTGTGGAGTTGAAATTGCTCTTGCCTCCCTAGGGACCCTAAGTATGGGGCAGTGATGTGGGTGGGGTGGGAAAGCAAGTTGGGGTGCAGAGAGGGGCCGGGTTTGGGATGTCCCTTCACCTTGGAGCTCCCCCTGGGATGTGCTTCATGGGAAGCCAGACATTGCTCTGGTCCAGATTCTTGGTTTCTCTGTTATACTTCCTCTCTCCCTCTTCTTGAGGTCCTGACACTTCCAGGCATTTTTTTTTTTTTAATTTTTTTTCAACGTTTATTTATTTTTGGGACAGAGAGAGACAGAGCATGAACGGGGGAGGGGCAGAGAGGGAGGGAGACACAGAATCGGAAACAGGCTCCAGGCTCTGAGCCATCAGCCCAGAGCCCGACGCGGGGCTCGAACTCACGAACCGCGAGATCGTGACCTGGCTGAAGTCGGACGCCCAACCGACTGCGCCACCCAGGCGCCCCGGCATTTTTTTTTTTTTAAGACCAGGTGTAGCAATGAGAGCAGACAGCAAGCCATGTGGACTGGGTAGGCAGCATGCAGGGAGAATAGCTCCGAACTTGCTGCAAAGATCCCTATTCTGGTTGTGACTCTACCACTAAGTATTGTGTGGTGGCTTTTGCTGGTCTCCTCTGTAAAATAGAAGGTTCTTAATCAGGAGAGTTGATCAAAAGAAAACCATCTGGGGAATGTTTTTAGAATGTCATGCCAGCCTCCCAACTCTGGGATTTTGATTCAGGTGGTTGGTATGGAATGAGGTTCTGGCACCAATATTGTGAAGAAAAAAATCCTCAGGAGGTTCTGATGTATATTTGGGTTGAGAACCACACAGTTCAGATGAGTTTTGAGGTTCCTTTCAGTTAGTATAGTTTATGTATAATTTCAAAATTCCCCCAGGGAATTCTTAGGTGAGCTTCTCCGTGTATAACAAAATCCAGCGAACATTTCCAAAGAGAAAGGAAAAGTGTCCACAGATTTACTATTCTTTTTTTTTTTGTTGTTGTTGTTAGGCATTTTAGGAGAAAACAGTGGCTGTTGACTTTGGCCACTTGTGATGTTTCTCTAGGAAGGGTTCTGGGGCACATGCTACTCTAGTCTAATGAGTGATTTATAGATGATATCTCTCTTTCTCTTTCTCGGTTTCTTTGTCTCTGTCTCCCTGTCTCTCTCTCTCTCTCTCTCTCTCTCTCTCTCTCTCTCTCACACACACACACACACACACACACACACACACACACACACACACAAAGTATTTCATAAGTGGTGACCTAACTTTGCAGAGATCATTTTCCTCATTCTGACCACCGTCACCAGAATTTCCACCCCCATCAGGAACAGAACTCCATGTCTGTTGCTTTCTGCACTGCCACTGTTACCACCTGCCTTATCACCGTCTTCACTCTCATCACTATCCTCAGAGTCAGCAGCACCATTTTGATCAACGTCATTGTCTGTGCTTATACCGTCTTCCCTACCAATAGATCGACCGTCCCCATCAAAATTCACTCACCAAATACCAACATGTTTGCTACCCTCATGAATCCCCTACTCAAGAGGGTAAAGTCTGTGGGTTCTGTTTTTATAGGTTTATTAAGACAGATGATACCTTCGTGGCAGGTGGACACATGACAAACAGTGAACAAACATAGACGTGAATATCAGCTACAGATATTCTGCCAAAAGAAGTAAATGTTTTGGGGTCACCTGCCTGAGTGTCTTGTTTTCACAAGGACCATACCAGGGCCTTTGTCCCTTCATTTGCACTGCTGCATTGTCTCCTAGTTTTGGACCTCTTGCTCCTAATCCCATTGTCCTCGAACGCAGGCGCCATCTTTATTGTGGACCTCCACTCCTCCTCCATAGATGATTAGAGGATTTCCTGGTTTGCTGGCAACATGCCTCAAGTATCAGTCTTGGATGGAGGCTTCTGCTTCCCTCTGGTGGTGTCACAACCTGGCTAACCATTTCACTTCTCTTTCTTCTGGCTTCTAACTTTCTCTCTGCTGGCTGATCCTTGGAAAGAAGGTGAGCAAAACTCCAAAGCCCATGCTATGGCTTCTGTCTCCCAAGATGCTCCTAAGAGCAGGGAAGCCAGAGACACAGAAGAAGCGTGTATCCTTCTTCTTTCCCCTTTTTGTGTCTTCTTTGCTCTCCTTGCCATCCTTCTTCCCTCTCCCTTGTACCTCTCTCTCCTGGTGCCTTTTCCTTGCCTCCCTCTCTGTTCTTGGGACATCCTACCATACCTCTCGTTTCTCTACCACCTTCCTCTCCTCCTCATTCCCAGACTCAGCCCCAAAGTAATGCCTGCCCCTGGTCTCTGCTTGTCCTTGCATAGGCTCATACCTGTGAGAGCATAGATCTGCTTAAATGACCTATTTTCCTGCAGAGTCATGTGTCCCCATACGCTTAGCCTGTTGGAACTACCATCTATAGTTTGGGTAGTACCTGCACTTGAATTTGTAGTTGGAATGATTAGGGCAAGGACATATTACAGTGCAGCCATCTCTGAGTTTCCCTCCTTCTTTGTCTTTTTTTTTTTTTTTTTTTTGCATTTTGAAAGAAATCAAATATATTTGACATAACCTTGTGTAAATATAAGGCATACAACATGTAAATTGGGCACATTTATATACTGTAATATGATTGCCATTGTAGAGGTAATTAGCACCTGTATCACTGTTACATAATTATTCTTTCTTTTTGGCGGTTGGAATAATTAAGTTCTAGTCTCTGGTTATAGTACAACGTTGTTGTCTATATTCACTCTACTGTGCCTTAAATCTCTATGGCTTATTTACTACTTGTTACTGGTTTGTACCCTTTAAACAGCAGCTGTTTTATCCCCCCACTCCATTCCCTGGTAACCACCATTTTACTCTCTGTTTTTATAGGTTTGGCTTCTTAGATTCCACATATAAGTGATATTACATAGTACAGTATTTTTTCCTCTGCTTTCATTGCACTTAGTATGGTGTGCTCAAGGTTCATCTATGTTGCAAATGGCAGGAATTCTTTTTTTCTCATGGCTGAGTAAGATTCCACTGTGTACACATACTACATCTTCTGTATCCATTCATTGGTTGATGCAGTCAGGCTGTCCCCACCCCCTTCCTTTTCCTTTTAGAGGCTGAGGGTGGTAGACACTGTGGTAGGGTCTAGAAGACCAGACTTTTAGCCTTGGTTCCATGTTTATTTGCTGTGTGACTTGGGGATGTCACTTCGTCTTCCAGAGCCCCAGTTTCCTCATCTATGATATAGGCTATAATAATACATGCCCTATTTTTTCTTAAAAGGGTGTTGTAAGACTCTAACTCCTAACTGGTGCTATGGAAGTGTAGGAGTTTATCATTGTGTCTGTGTGCTCAAATATTTTTATGTGCATTCTCGATTCCTAGCCCTTCCCCGACCCAGCCAGCTTCACTGCAGCCAACACTGATGGAGGACCTGTAGGGGGTCTTTGGAGAGACACTGAAGGGCACAGAAATAATCCATGCTCTGAGAGAGTTTACAAAGGGCTCATCAGGAATGCACATACGCAGACATCAAAGCATGAGTAAAACACTATCTCAAATGGCAACTCATTAGCACAGCACAGATCTATATGCAAATACGATGGGGCAAGGAGTCTGGGGAGAGCAAAGCCAGGTGGTGGCTCCTGGAAGGCTGCAGATATAACAGAAGGAACTTCTCCCCAGAGTTTCTGGGTCCCATACTTGACACAGGTGAACTGTGTGTCATCCTTCTGTGGGTCCAGCCACATGGCCCTGATCTTCTTTGTAGTCACAGGATGCAGTGGCTGACCTCACAGGGGATGTCATAAGCAGGAGAGGAGGTATAACTTGGTAGGCAGGGTAGGATGCATGTTTTTCAAAATCAGTCTGACAGAACCTGATCACAGGGGTGGAGGTGGGGGCTATACCCAGAGGCATGAACAGGGAGGATGAGGCAGGGAAATCTGTGCAAGGTTAGCATGGGGGCCACTGGCGTTTTCCTCCTGTTTTAGTGGGTTTGGGAAGTGACTACGATGAGAATAAACTACGTTTGCAGAGAGCCACGTCCTGGTGGCGGGGGGAACGTGGAGGAAGGCTGAGGCACGGCGTGGGATCAGTTGAGCATCCTCCGGGCCGGTGGAGGTTTGTATCATAACTCAGCAGGGTCTGGAGAGACCAGGAAGATGGGGAGGAAATCACAAAATCAAGATCTCCAAACCTGGACAAATCCATAGTAACGCGTCTAGGGACTCAGAGTCCTGAACACAGATATTAACCAGGAGGGGGATCTTGGAAGGAAACATTTGTTTTCCAAGAACAACAACAGAAGAGCCAGCATTTTGTGAGGGACACTCAACCTCCGTGCACAGGAAGGGGGTGGGGAGGCCTGGCCTTTGGCCCCGGGGTAGCCTGGGAAGATTTGAAATGGGTGCCTTCTCACCTCTGCTCATTACCAAAATGGGCCTTCTAGATTGCGCTCAACATTTATGTTTCTCCCTCATTCGCCTTTTGTCCATATGAACGAACATTCCCCCCCTCTTTTACCCCTTACGTTCACTGACTCTCCAAGTGCTTCCTGCAACAGAGACAAGGCTGGAAACAGACAAGGGGGAGGTAACGGAGTCCATTCTTGTCCATGAGGTCATATTAATCTAGCCAGAATCCACCAAATTTGGAAGAAGTGATATGCCTGGGGTGGGTGAAAATCACTTTTGTCTAGTCTGTCAAAATTTATGTAGCTGTTTTGAGTAGAGAGACTGATATTGCAGGGGCTACTTTTGCTATTCCCAGAAGCCTATGAGGACATTAGCTTATGAGTCCTTCGCAGGCAAGGAGATGCTGTTAACTTCCAGCAAGTTATATCTTTTTAGGAAAGCAGGCTTAGAGGAAGCCTCATCTCCAAAACAGGAGTAATAAATGTCGTGGCAGGCTGTTGAAAGGAGTGGTGATGATATCGGATGTCTAGCATAGAGGCACACACAACACATGATAGCGGGTACTTTTGCTGTTGTCGTTGTTGTTCACACGTGATGTGAATAGGGCGGCACAGTCGGCAATGAATCGGCCGACTCTTTCCTGCTGTTTCCCTTCACAGCCAGCATCTGCAGCGTTGGGGGAAACTGGACCCAGTTCCTTAAACCTGCGACGGCAGCCAGAAGCCCAGACATAGAGTCTGGGGAGAGGCGGGAACAGATGGCCTTTGCACTGTGTGCTGGGGGATTTCTGTTTCCTAGAGCATGGCTCCTTGGGGTGTCCCTAAACATAATGGTTGCATGTGTGAGACCTGTGGTGCAGTCCCTGGGAGAGTCAGCAGGAAGACTGCTCAGCCCCGCAGTGCAGGAGGGAGGTCTTGAAGGCGCCCATTTCCAGGGATAGACAGCAGATGTGGCAAAAGGAGACTTGAGTTTCACTATTGGCTCTGCCCCCATGAACCTGGGGTTGATTCATATCTTACCCTATTTTGCAAAACAGGATTTTGACGGGTTACAAGCAAAATCATAAATACAAAGGGATCATTTTTTAACAAAGGGTAAATAGAAAAGAACCCTGTGATTGGGGGACAGTAAGGAAGTGCAGGGGAAATGATGACAGTAGAAATGAAAAAATAAGAGTGATTAATGCAAGTGTGACAGATTTCCCTTTGAGCTTCCTGGTA